GCCGCCGGCCGCCTTGCTGCCTGCACAGACACAGGGCACAAAATAGTGCAGCGTTGGCAGGCCAGTCGAAAGAGCTAAAGGTCACTACCCGAGCTCCATCAGCCTGGCATAGCCGACCTCCATCAGCCATTACATCACGCATTGATTCGCCCATGATCGTCGCCAATCACCAAGTTGCAGTAGCAACGGAGCGAAAGGCAAGGCGACACGGACGCGGACGTGAGGCAGGAACATCATATATTCTAGCATCCTACGGTGGTTGCAGTTGCATTCATCAGTTGATGCCTCAGCGATACTATTCCGTGTACGTGTGGCTGCACCGGATCGATCGCCGTGCAAGTTGCAACTGCACACTTGCCCATGGTGCACACATAATGCAGAGAACACGGCGGACGACGACAAGAGAAAATGTATCTACATGACAGATTCCATCGCCATACTTGCTGATGATTCTACAAAGAGACAGTAGTATCACACAAAATCTCGCCTACCAAAACCAGGGCCTCGTTTAGTTGCCCGGAATCGGCAGTGGCAAAATCACTGTGCGGCACTGTAGTGCCCTGTAGCATTTCGTTTGTATTCTTTGTAATAATTGTCCAATCGTTGACTAATTAGGCTCAAAACGTTCGTCTCGCAAAGTACAACCAAACTGTGCAATTAGTTTTTGATTTCGTCAACATTTAGTACTCCATGCATGTACCGCAAGTTTGATGTGACGGGGAATCTTCTTTTTGCATAGTGCCAAAGTTTGGATAGAACAAAACTGAAGGGTCGCAAAATCTGCAAGGGCCCGTTTAGTTCGCCTGAATTCGGGCGAGGAATCCAGAATTGCACAGTGTTTCGGCCTTCTTGAACTAAACAGGCCTGCAAACTTTGGACCGCCCAAATTCGGCCGATATTGTGTGGACGTAATACCCCCGCCGACGACTGCCCCCATCCTCTCTCGCTCATCCACACTCCTCAGCCGCACTCCCAAACCCTAGCGCCAGCTCCCTCTCCCGCAGCGCCGCTCTCCCTCTCCCCCACCGCTCCTCTCGCCGCCTCCGCTCGAATCCACCGTTCCACCGCCAGATCCACCCCATTGTCGGTCGGATCCACCGCGTCCGGTACCGGATCGACCGTGCTTGACCCCGTCGTCGGCGATGGACGGCTTCAACGGCGAAGGGAACGGCTCGGAGTTCAACGTCGGCGCATCCGACAACGGCTCCGAGTTCGACGTCGTCGGATACGACAACGTCTCCGACTACTACGACGCCCGCCGCACAAGGAACCTCTTCTCCCTGGCGCCGCCAGGCTCCGGATCCGGTACCTACAACTCGTACACCTCCGTGCCGCATCCGCTCTCGTCGTCGACCATCCCGTCCCCAGGCCAGCTGCGTATGTCTGGGCTCAACGTCAACGCAAGCGAAGGTTGGCCACACATCAACGCCTACGAAGGCATCCTTCGTTCCGGCGACCAAGCGGGCGGAATCGGCAGCAGCCGGGGCCCCCCTCCTGTCCGCGTGCCTACCAGCAGCGGTGGGGTGCACACGGCTCCCGTGCATCGTCAGCGCCGAGCTGCATCCAGGTCGCGCGGTGCCCGTCGTCGCGGCGCGGGTCATGCAGTGGCCGGCGACAACAACCCTCCCGTCTCGGTACATCTCGCTTCCCATTTGCACGTTTCGAATCGAAGTTCTGCCTTTGTGTTTACATTATTCCCTGTCGTGTTCCATGGCTCGATTTGTAATGTTTAGTTTCATACAAGGTATTGTTCATGCATTGCTTGTCCATTAAAATGTCCACAGAATGAGATAACCAGGGCAAAGTGGAACAAAGATGATACTAAGAAGTTTTGTGAGATTTACTGCACCCAAATTGATTTGGGTAACTGCAAGAATGTCAACATGACCAAATGGGGGTGGAAAGATGTCTAGGACAGGTTTCGAGCTGCGACTGGTAAGCTTCATGACAGTGAGCAGTTCGGCCATAAGTACAGACAGTTGAAACACCTTTGACTTTTCATCGAGGACCTTCGGCACAAGGCCACAGGCTTGGGTAGAAAAGAAGATGGCTCTGTGGTTGCTTCTGACAAGTGGTGGGAAGACCATTGCAAGGTTCATGAGCTTTGTACTCATATATTGTTGCTCTGTGGTTCCCATCTATTGTTGATTCTGACAGTACGTGGGTTGTTGTTTGCATTGCAGGGGAAGCAAGACTGGATGGAACTCAAAGATGGATGGCCATAATACATTGATGAACTGGACCGCATGTTCGCCGGAGTTGTTGTGAACGGAGAAACCTCATTTGTTCCTAGGGTGAGCCGCCGCCTTCACTACGTTAGCAGCGGCGAAGAAGAAGAAGATCATGACCAGGTCACCCCTCTGAGTTGTGCGACCCCAGTCAGCTCTGGAAGCAAGAGGAGCAGCAACACTCGCAGCAGTGCATCATCTCCCAGCAAGAAGTCAAAGAGCGCAGCTGTTCGGTCCATGGATGCCAACATGAGCAGGTTCAACTCCAGTTATGAGATCAGGACCGCAATGATGCAAAACTGCTGGAAGGAGAGGCAGCAACAGGTTGCGGCTCTTGATGAGGAGAAGAACATCAAGAAACAAGAACAGAAATTGGTTGCGGCTGTAGCAAGAGAGGTTGAGGCGCACAAGATACAAGGGTTGTGGGTTGGTGTGATCAATATCTGCAAAGATGACGATGCCAGGAATGTCTTCCTCAAAACACATGTGGAAGCAAGGCTTGAAGTCATTAAGCACTATGCTGGGGTCGGAAACTAGAACCATCTATCCATGCATTTCACCTATATGTGACTGTAGTTGGCATGATAAACTATGTCTTTTGTGTGTGCAGGTCATTAGTCCTATATGAACTATGTCTTTTATGTGCGAGGTTGTGATGATGAACAATGTCATTAAGCCCTTAATTTGCAGCATGGTTGTTAAACTAAGTTCTCAAGCTCATTTTTGTTTTTATATTGATTGCCTGTGTGAGGTCATGGTATGTTTGAATTGAGGTAGCCTTGCATGAGTATAGTGGGTAGCAACCGTTTTTTACTGACTGTCTGTGTGTTCTATTGCAATGGCCAGGAAGTTGTTGATCAAGTTGATGCTCAAGTGGATGATGACGACGACTGGTGGGAGGAGTTTTAGAAAATGCTGCTAGAAGATGATGATGAAGCAGCATTTATCTATGGTACGTATGACTACGCTATACATCTGGACAAGTATTGCAATAGAGCTGTGTATAGGAAGCCAGCATGTACTGGTGAGGAATGGGTACAAAACAAGCTTGCCAATGAAACTGCCTGCTACAACATGTTTAGAATGAGTCCCCAAATGTTTTATAGTCTGCATAATTTGTTGACTACAAACTATGGCCTCACATCCTCAACCAAGTGTACCTCTATTGAGGCTCTAGCAATGTTCCTTTGGATACTTGGGGCTCTACAATCAGTTAGGCAAGCAAAGGATAGATTTGAGAGATCACTGGGCACTGTGCACAATGTTTTTTACAAAGTCCTCAGCAGTGTGTTAGACCTATCTGCCGACATCATTAAACCTAGGGACCTAGATTTTACAACAATGCATCCTAGGGTCCAGAATGTTAGGTTCTATCCTGAATTTAAGGGTTGCATAGGGGCAATAGATGGCACTCACATTCCTGTGGTCGTGCCAAGTGATAAGTTTATGCAGCACATGTGTCGGAAGGGCAAGACATCCCAGAATGTCATGGCCGTTTGTGACTTTGACATGGTCTTTACTTTTGTCCTTGCTGGCTGGCCTGGATCAGTGCATGACATGAGAGTGTTAGATGATGCACTCACAAAGTATAGAGATTTCTTTCCTAAGGCGCCTAGAGGTACACACGTTGCTGCTAGTTCAATACTGTTTTCTAATTGAAGCTTGTTAAACTTACAGGTACTTACTGCTGCAGAGAAGTACTACCTGGTGGACTCGGGGTATGCAAACCGCCCTGGGTTTCTGTCTCCTTACCGTCAGACCAAGTATCACATCCAAGACTTTCAAAACGCCCCCAAACCACAAGGTATTAAGGAGATATTCAATTATGCGCATTCATCTCTTAGAAATATCATCGAAAGGGCGTTTGGAGTGTTGAAGATGAAGTGACGCATATTGTTTAACATCCCGTCGTATCCACCTGAGACACAGACACATATAATAGTTGTATGCATGGCGTTGCACAACTTCATCAGGATCAATGGTGACTTTGATGGTGACTTTGGTATGCTAGACAGCAATGTAAACTATGCGCCTGTTGAAGCATATGTGGATCAGCCTGAGACAGAGCCTCCTCCAGACAGTGCGTACATGGAAAGCATGAATGCATTCCGAGACAGACTGGCTCATCATTTGTTTAATAGGTCGTGAATAATCTGAGATTAAGAAGATGTATTTGCTTATGTACTATCCGAATGTCCGTAACAATTTTCGGTGGATTTGACTACATTTTACTTGAGTTTTTTAATATGCAATAAAGTGGGTAGAGCTTACATTTCATGCGATTGTGCATGACAACGTACCGGGGGCATGCAAAATTTCCATCATGACAAGCCACCACACCTGCCGCTGGTGGCTGCTGCAATTTCCTGACAGTATGCAGAATTTAGGTAAACAGTAACTCCAAAGTTTGGGGTTCAGAATTTGGAAACTAAACAAGGGCCAAGTGTAAGAGAAAAGAAAGACCAAATGAGTGGCAAAAAACCAGAGCACTAGAGCGGCCAGGGGCCACGAAGATGGAGCGGCCAGGGGCCGACCTGGCCCAGTCCCAGGCGTCAGCGTGGCCGCCGCCGCCACCACCAGCAGCAGCACCGAGCCGCTTCATGCACCACAGGTCCTCGGTGCACGACAGGCGGCGCCAGTGCGGGATGCGGCCGCGGAGCGGGTCCATGGCCGCCACCTCCACCGCCACGGCCGCCGCCCTGCCGCGCGCCATGTTGACAATCGACGCGAACACGGCCTCCGAGTCCAGCGCGGCGTCGCTGCCGCTCCCGGCTAGGCCGTAGACGAACCACACCGCGAAGGGGCGGAAGAAGTCGGGAACGGACGGCACGCGCCGCCCACCTCGAGACGGAACACGCCGCCGCAGTCCCACGCGCTCGCCACGGCCCACGACGCCGGCGGGGACGCCAGGAAGCGGTCCACGCCGCCCCACTCGTAGCCGCCGCCGACGATCGCGAGGAACGTGCCGTGGGAGAGCGTGTTATCCAGGACGTCGCCGATGTCCGCGGGGAAGAACTCGACGTGCGCGAACCGGCTGCGGTACAACCGCTCCGCGTCGCGGGCGCCGAGGCGGACGACCGTGGCGCGGCGCGGCGCCTTGAGGCGGTGCGAGCGCACCGGGTGCACCAGCAGAGACGGCGTCCGGAACTTGGAGTAGCCGCAGCGGCCGGTGAAGAGGCGCAGCGACGCTTCGTTGGACTTGTCGGTGACCATGTATGCGTACTCGGCGCCCATGAGCTCGAACCACTGCTCCAGCTGCTGCACTAGCTGCAGCGCGATGCCCATCCGCCTGCATGCACACGCCGCGCATTGATCGTATCGTCGATAAAAAATAAAGGAAGAAACGCTTGACGAAGAAGATACAGCAACGCTTTACTACCTGTGGGAAGGCGCGACGCGGAGGCCAAGAATGTAGCCGACTTTGGCGAAGGCGGGTGCGCCAGGGCGGCTCTTGCCGGAGGCGACGGACTTGACGGTTCCCCGGACGAGGCCGACGATGCGGCCGTCCGGCCCGGACGTCTCAGCTACCTGTTCATGCATGTCGGGATCAAACTAACGCGGCTTGAAACAGCAACCCACCACCAGCAAAAATTGAAGAAGCAAACAATCAGCGCGGCTCGCTCGTTAGCGAATAGCTACGTGCAACCGTACGTGCAATTATAAGCAGAAGAGAAGAGATCGCTGCACTACTGCTCAGCCATACGTATGTATACGTCGTATGTATCCGCACGCATTGACGCGTACACGTATACGTCTACGTGTATGGATATGGGGTCAGAGTAGACGTACACGTACACACACACACACACACTTACCAGCATGAGGTAGTGCGGCGAGTGGCGGATGCGCGCGACGGGGTCGCCGAGCAGGTCGGCGTGCAGCGACATGCCGCCGGCCGGGCCGACCTCGCACTCCCGGTCAACGGCGTCCGTGCCGTCGCGGTCCGTCTCGGATCACCACCGCCCGTCTACGGCCACGTGGCGTTACGACGGCCACGAGCACCACCTAGTGCTAGCGATGATCGCAAAAGGCTCGGTGGGGCCATTAGTGGCGTTACGACGGCAGCAACGGTCGGTTTTACTCCCTAGTCACGGTCACGGAATGGATTTCCGAGTCAGTAAAATCGAGAGGGAACCAACACACGGTAATAAAGCAACACACCGAACCGTGTGTCCCGTGGTCGCTCCACGAGGCGCGACGCAACTGTCTGATTGTTAACCTTATCTAAGGAGCTGGTTTTAGTATTGAATTTGTTTTTTTGGGGCTTGCCGAGCTGTTCGAGCGTCCAACCGGTAGGTCTTCTGACACAGATTTAGGACCTGATTGTTTATGATCGAGCTTGTTGTCTCAACGCAACCATGCATGGTCAGCCAGACAAGAGCAATAGGACAGAAGGCGGTTCTGACAAGCTTTTTTTTAATTGTTGTTTTGCCAAATAAAGAACCTGCACTTGCTTCATCATCTGTTGATGAGTTAGTAGTGCCGGAATAGTCGTTCGTAGGCAGCTACTAAAACTCAACAGGATGCATGTGCTTCGAAGGACCAAGGAAACGCTGTCCAGTCCATTGTACGTCGCCGTCGCCGTGGCCTGTGGCAGATTTGTTTGACCAGTACGTTGACCCCTTGACGGCTTGACCGGCTATTACCACCAGCAGACCACCTGCTGCCCCGTTTTTCCCTCCCGTACAGCGATCGAGGTCGAGGTCGTTTCAGTTTTCTTTTACCTTCACCCATCGTGCCTGTAAAATGGATGGATCTAGATCACCGGTCCGGAATTGCAATCTCCAAACACCATCGGTCGTAACAGACTGACTGGGATTGTCACGATCGAGTCACGACATCCCTATCCAGTGTCCACCGCCAGGAGCCCTGCGACACTGGCGAAAGGACATGTGCGGCGATCGGCGGCTGCCGGGAGAAGCTAGCGGCCGAATCCGATGCGCGGTATCCCCTCGCGGAAAAACCGAAAAGGAAAACGACGTGCCGCCCGTGCGCGCCCTGGGTCTCTCCAGCTCCTGGTTCGCCGCCGCCGCAGCGCCCGGCGCGTGTCCGCCCCCTCAGACGGGACGTGGCGGGGTCCTCGGCTGTCCCCGCGCGTGCGTGTGGCGCGGACCGATCGAGCCCAGCGGCGTGGCAGGGGGGCAGGGCTCGTTTTCGGAACGGATGCCACGCGCGCTTGGGACCGGACGCCGGACGTGATGGCACGCTACTCGCGATCGCGGTCCTGTCGTGCCGAGCCGGGATTTTTCCACTTCGCCGAGAAGCCAATCATTGGTGGCCGTACGCCCGGTTCGGATAACGCGGCCGCGTGCCCCGTGGAAAAAAAGAAGAAGAGAAGGCCAGGACAGCTTTACAAGTGGAAAGGTGGGCGGTGTCACGTAGCGGCGAGCGAGTTTGCTGTGTGGTTGGATTCAGTTTTGCGGCTGGCGGCGTACGCTACGCACAGGCACTGTTCGGATCTTTTCGCGTGATATGCAGCCTGTTCGGTTGGCTGGTTCGTTTCGTTGTTGCTCGTGAAGAAGTACTGCTGGCTGGTTTGTGTGAGAGAAAAATACTGTTTCGACTGAAAATTTACGATCGTTTACGACAAGTCACAGCCAAACGAACAGGCTAATGGACTCGACCGGAGATTCGAAGACGACGATGAGGATGATTGGGCTTGGGTTTTTTTTCTTTTCTTTCCCCACTGATCTGACATTGCCTTCAACGTGAGTCTCACGTTTTCGGTGTTGTTGGCACCGCTAGCTCCGTTTTATGAGCGCTCGGTCGTCGAAGTCGAACCAACCATCGGAAAAGACAAGTTTCTATTTCTACTCGCAGGTGTGAAGTTAAGGTGGTGGTTTGCGAGTGTTTTGAGGTGTTTTGAGGCTGAAGCCAGGCGACGCTGGGTCGCTGGCTGGCTGGCATAAAAGCTGAAAGCCTGAAACTGCAAAGGCGGGCGGCGCACGGAGCAGCGCCGCCGTCGTTTCAGGTAGCGGGCGGCGTGGCGTGACGGCTGCAAGATAGAGATAGCGGCAGGTGGATGAGGACGTGACGCGCCGAGACGTGGTCCCGCGGCCATGGTGGGCGCACGCTCGCACGCGTGCCGTCGGTCGTCTCCTAGCGCAGTTACGGCAGGCAGGGCAGTTCGACAGGAGCTGATGCAGTGTGGCCGTGTTCGATCGCTGGCCGCGACGGCCGCGCAGCGCCCACACCTTGGGTCGACAGCGCGCCGGCGGACGTCGTGCTCACTGCCTCGCCGGACGTCGTGTTACGCACTGCTCGCGTCCGCATTATTATTGCGTAAAATGAAGGAAGTCCGCATACGCGTACAGGTTTGGGAATGGTAATGTACTGTACATTCCGGTTATGTACCTGGTTCCTAATAAACTAATAAAATAATTAAAGGGCCTCTCGTGTTGCGTTCACTCGATGCTAGGCTAGTAGTGAATGAAATCCACCAGCCCTGCGAGAAAAATAATTAAGCGATGTATTAGGCTAATACTCCAAAACTGTAGCGTTTTTGTATATTTTATTCAAAATTTTATTTTATTTTTAAAAATTTTACTAGATCATATAATACACACTTAATTGCTAAAAGTGGCATAGAATTAGTCGCTTAAGCTTTCACCGCTGCCCACAAAATATCAATTTTTCTATATAAACTATATATGTGTAGTGGTATTGTTTTATAAAAACATAGGAGTACTTAATCAAATCGCCAATATTAGTATGACGTAATATTTCAGTCAATGTGTATTGTTTTTATTGAGGAACAATTAATGTGTATTGTTGATATAATAGTAAGATTAACAAACTAGTAGCCCACAGTACGTCAGCATATGGATTCAAAGCCGGCGTCATCTCGAAAGAAAATGCTCTTGATGACGTGTGCACAGTGACGAAAGACGAAATGGATCAGAGACGTTTAGTAGCAGGGGACATTGATAGCACGCGCGCGTCTCGGGCTCTTCTCGGTTGGTGGTAGCCCCCCAGCAGCTTGTGCGAGCCGCTCCGCGCCATGGTCCATGGCGAATGGAACTACGGCTAGTGCAGTCAGGAGCCAGTACGCGTTCTTCCTTGCGAAGTCCACGTGCACCCCGCATGAATCATATGAGCGTTGAACTTGGAAGTCAGCTGGGACTGGGATCCAAGCCGATCGACCTCTCGTGATCTCGTCCACAATTCACGCGACATGCGCTGCTTGTTTCCCACGAGACGAGGACGAGGCATCGTACGTGCTGTGCCACAGGACACGAAGCTTCTCATCTTCAGCTTCTAGCAGCAATCAAATGCACCATATGCATGTCGTGAGCAAAGCAGCTCAGTATGAGCTCACCGTGCAACCGCTCCGACGCCTTTCCAGATCGTCGTCCGCGTCACCCGTCCGTTGCAGCAACAGAACGAAGTACACAACCGAACGCGCGCGTACGCCCGCCGTTGCCATCGATCCAAGAAACAACCGCCTGCATGCATGCGCGCGATCCATGGCGGGGCTTGGCGTTGATCGGGCCATCTAACTGCCCGGGACGGACGCTGCCGCCATGCATTCTGTTACAGTTCCTTTTCTTCCCCGGGACGAAAGGAACGCCAGCTGAGCTGACACAAACCGCAAGCCCACCATGGAATCGCTTTTGTTGTGATCAGTTCAGAGTTACTATCTGGGGGTCCAAAGGAGTACGTATCTCGGACGTTAGAAAATCTCGGATTCAGTTCAGGTCTGATTTCAAACGGCAAAAGCTAGACGGGCGACGCCAAGTCGTGACTCGTGAGTGTATGGGGAGGCCATTTCCCAGTTCCCAGTCTGCTTGCTGCAATGCTCAAGTCAAATGCATGTGCAGCTCAGACCACAGGGGAGGGGAACATGACCGTTCGTACCATGCACTCTGAATATCTGGCAATTTCGTTGCATTGCATGGCATCAAATTTTAAAAAAAAATCTTGAAAGGCGTGACAAGTGCTGCTGGGTCAACAAAGTGTGCGAGGCCGAAGTGGCCATCCACGTTTCTATGGGTTGTTCAGACGTTTGCGCCCTATCTTTTTTCCCGTTTTCAGCGAGCTTGCTGCTCTCTCAGCAAGTGGGCTGATCAAAGTCCTCTATGGGCCAAGGCGATGGCTCATCATTCACTCTGTTCGTTTGGTCTCGTTTAACAGCCATGGTTGAAAGTACTATTGATTAATTTAATATGAGAGAAAAATACTGTTCGTTGGCTGAAAAAGTACGGCTTATAGGTCAAATAAGTCCAAATGAACAGGGCGACCGAAGCCGCGACTTGCACGCCAAGTACTGTACCTACGAAAACTTAACGCTTGACCGCTCGGGCCAACTGTGAGAAAGGCGTGGAGAATGCAGAAAGAGTGGACCGACTGCCGGGCGATAGGCCGGCTCGACAGTGCTTTTGACATTGCGGCGGTAATGCTGTCTGCCAGAAACGCCAGTTTTTACTTCGTGAAAGTTTAAGAGACGACTTGACAGTTGACAAAAGTTTGCAATGTCAAAAGGACGGCCGACGGGGTAAACTCTTGACCGTACGTGTAAATGCAATCCATATTTTTTAGAGACAAAAACGCAATTATATAATAACAGGAATAAAAACTGATATTATCATAGCGCGATCATGCGTGATGCTGCATGTCTTTTTTTTTTCAGGTCCAAAAATACTGTCAACTTAAACCTTAAAACCAATGTTTTAGATAACGGGCTAAACCAGCTGCAGTCTTCTTCATCAGAAATCATAAAAAGTTACAACAAGATATAGTGGAAAATATTTCCATTTAACGGTTTTTATAGGAAACATGAGAATTCTTGATTATTTTATGCATAGAATAGAAATATGTGGCTAATTAAGACAAATTTATGAACATAAATACTCAAATACATGGACATAGCCTAGGATAATATATCTCC